TCTCTCTCTCTCTCTCTCTCTCTGGTCTGGCATGTTGAGTTTTAATTCCAAGGGCCTTAACTCCAAGGGATTTGTTTTGTGGACCGCCAGCAGAGATTCAGACAGTGAGGAGGTTGGAGAGGAAGATGGGCTAATCCTGGAGTCTGGGGAAGGCTCTGATGAGGGCTCTGTGTTGGAGGCAGAGAGTGGACCAGGGCCGTCTTGACAGTTATCAGCTGCCTTCAGAGTCAGTGAGGCAGACGAACAGCTGGAGTCTGTTCCCAGTGTGCACATGCACAGAGTTGCCAAAGGAAGGGAAAAGCTAAAGAACAGGGGTCGACTTGGGAGGAAGGCCACAGGTGGACGATGAATGGCCCCTTCCAGAGTAAATAACATAGAAGCGAAAGGGGAGTGGAGTTTGCAGGAGACAATTAGTTCACTTAATGGGTTCATGACTCTCCAAGACTCCCTGCTAAATTTTGCAGATATCGGCCTGGCAGCTCTCCAAGCCAGATAAGGTCTATGACTGTAAATCCTCCCTTGAAAGACTTTGCTGGATGTGAATGAGCAGAATTCACAGAAAATTTTAAAAAGGGGATTTTGTCGGGACCAGGAGTTAGTTTCGTGCTCTTGGGAAGCCTCGGTCCGAACAAATTGTGACTCTCTGCCCCACTGCGACAGTCCGTTTCGCTGGCTGAGATCCTGCAGAGCGCACGGCGGTCTCTGCAGAGACGGGACCCATTTTCCTCCTTGTTCTCTTCCCCCACCCCCAGAGCTGTGCCTGGACTGCCGAGAAGGACTGTTGTACCAGCAACAGAGAGACCTGCGTGAATACACCCAGGCTACCATCTACGTGCGGAAAGTGGTGGATGATAAAAAGGTCGGTTTTACACCCTACCCCCTCCTCTCCGGCCAGAAAAATCTGGGGATTCAAAGGGTGGGTGAGCTTGAAGAGTTGGTGACGGGCCCGGATACTCTGCTTTTGGTGTTCAGAACCCCACCCACCCCCCGCCTCTGGACCGGAGTCTCAGCAGAACACTCTTGTGTCTGTTTCTGCTCCATTAGGCGGCCGATGAACGGAGGGCCCAAAATAGAGCTAATTCTGCTCTTTAGGGCTTTTGTAAACTGGGGTGGATTCATTAAAGGTCGGGTTGCTTCTTTGATGTCACGATCAGTCCCGGCCCTTCAGCAATTCTGTTAAAAGCAAGTGGGGCGGGGGGAACCCCTCCATTTGTGAGATGCCCCTCCCAGTGGCAGCCCCAGGCCTTGGCTTTGTCCACGGTGGCTGCATTGCCCCTCTCCCCACACCCCCATTCAAAGCCAGCCAGGGCTGCAGTCAAGCAAGGATGATTTAAACCAAGAGTTTGAGTTCAAAGCGGGGGGGGGGGGCTTGGGCCCTTCTGGCTGTTTTCCACAGTGCACTTTCTAGAAAACCTTGACCTCTTTTGTTTGCATGGCCCTGGATCCCAAAGGTGCTTTTTTTTTTTCCAAAAATGCCACTGGACTTTCTTGGTTTTTCTTTGAAGAGGTTTCGCTTCTCATCCAAGAAGCTTCTTCGGATCTGAAGAAGCAGTTTCTTGGATGAGAAGCAACAAGCATGACCTGGATGACTGAGCATCTGCAGACAGCCCTGTTTGGTGTATCCTTATTTTTGGGGTCTGGGCCCCAAGCTTTGAGTATCTCCCAGGGGTTTGCTATTCATGAGTTCCCACTCGGTGTGAACATTCAATTCCAAAGAAGAGAATAGTAGAGAATAGAACAGAATACAGAATAGAATAGAATACAGAATAGAATATATAATAAGAATAAATAGAATAATGAAGGAATAGAATAGAAGAATAGAATAGAGAATAGAATAGAATGTAGAATAGAATACAGAATAGAATAGAATAATGAAGGAATGGAAAAGAATAGAATAGAATAGCGAAGGAATAGAATAGAATGGTGGGATAGGATAACTTTGTCACTTTTAAATGTACACTAATCTGCATACATTAAAGTGAAATTTCGTTGCATACAGCTCTCAAAAGGTCGCCACCTCCAATATACACTGCATAATTTAACAGAATAAATAAATAAATATAGATAAATACAGAATTATGCACATCACCCACTTATATTATTAGAGGAGGCTAAGAGCACTTCCTGTCTCTCATCTCCATCCCTTAATGGTATCCCCCCTCCTCCCACCCACCCACCCAGGTCATGAAGGAAGCTGCTCCGGAGCTGAATGTCAGCAGTTCGGAGGCCGAAGAAGAGCGGGAGGAAGCCAGGGCAGAAGGGGAACACGATCCGGACTTCAACCAGGTAAATTCTGGTCTTGGGAGGGGGGGAATTGAAGCGGTTCTCCGGTGGCTCCGAATTCTCATCCGGAGTTTCCCCCTTGACCTCGGACTGCTGGGCGAGTGGGAAGACTACGAACAATGTGGCGAGGGAGGCGGCATGGCGATTTTTAGAGGCATTCGTGTTAAACCGGGATCGGCCAAACAGAGAGGGGTGTATTTGTCACAGGAAAACGGGGCAGGGGTGTCCTCTATGATCCAGATCCCGATTGCCCCGGGCAGCAGCTCGTGTCAGGTGCCAAGCAATGCATCCATCACAAATTGAACTTGGAGGCATTCCGTTTTCTCCAAGTACAAATTTAATTTAGATACACCATATTGGCACTAAACTGGTTGAAAAGCTGGTACTAAAGTTCGCGGGCTTTTCACCGCAAGATACCTTTCAGTTTTCTCAAGTTTCTAAAATAACAGTCACATTGTCCAACCAAGATGGGAGCTGGTTGCTTGGCGACATCTCCTCCTCCTCCTCTGATGAGACAGAGATTAGAATGTGGTTGACTCATCAGTTTAGGAATTGAGGTTTTGACTGATGGCTCCATCCTCCTTCAGCTCCAACTGTCAAACTGAACATGTCAGAATTCCCAAGGATGCAAAAAATCCCACACCCCAAGCTCTCTTGCTGAGGGGTCAACTTGAGGGTTCCCTGGAGGCATCTACAGCTAGTCCTCGACTTACAACTGTTTGCTGAGTGACCTTTCACAGTTACAACGGCACTCGAAAAAGTGACTTACAACCGCTTTTCCACACTTACGACCGTTTCAGCATCTCGTGATTTTTGGATGCTGGACAACCGACTCACGTTTATGATGGTTGCAGGGTCCCAGAGTCACGCGATCGCTCTTTTGCGACTTCCAAGCAAAGGTCAACAGGGGAAACTAGATTTGCTTAGCGACCGTGTTGCAGATTTAACAACCGGAGCGATCCGCTTAGCAAACGTGGCAAGAAAGGGTGTAAAAATGGGCCTCCTATGACAAACTTTCTCCCTTAGCGACAGAAACCTAGCTGAGATGGCTAAAATATCTGCATATTTTAAGGATCATTCAAACGAGAGATATAAAACTGGAGTGGAAAAGATGGATTGATTATACTCAAAATAAATACGGGACTAAGAAATT